CTTGAGTTTTATGCAGGGAATCATTCATTATGATCTTTTAAAACAAAATTACGCCATTGCAGTCACCCAAATTTACAGTAAACAGTGAAAGTGAAACAATAGAAAAACAATTTTTAGTAAAATGTAAAACGAATCTTTCTTATTGCGAGAATGTTCGTTCACAGATAGCAGAAAGAATGTAACCAGAAAAGAGAAAAGAAGAAAACAAATTAATTAATTAATTAATAATACATTCATTGTGTTCTCGTAACCTAACATCGACAAAATTATCACCTATTTCACTCTATACAACATTCCTCAAATATTCGGCACAAAATTTAATAATACAGACCATTTAGAATACATGTTGGTTCAGTTTCTTAACACACAGGACAATATTTTGCGAGAAAGCGATTAAAATGCTTCTTGAAAGGTGTAAATAATTATCGCAGATAATGATACATACATACATTGTAAATTAAGCGTAAGTGTGAATACTACTATTTTTCTTCCGAAACTATATATCTAAAATGACATCACTTATAAGATGATCTAATATATCTTTTTATCGAGAGCGATATCGTGAACGTTTCAACAATCCTGGAATGAAAAGAAAATGATTTTTTTGTGTAAGAATAAATTCGAAGTTTGATTTAAAAATAATCAACGATAACAGTAGATAAAATGTATATGCAAATAGGTAAATTTATAATCTACGTCTGTAATTTCATTGTTAAAAAATACAGTAACTCTAGGAAAGTGTAATTATTATATGTATATAAGCACATATGACATTTGTCTATGAACGAGAAGATGAATCGGCCAATTTCTTCTGTTTAATATAGCCTTCGTGAAGATAACTGATAAACATAATACATACGTATGTTCGTTTTAATCTATTCGTACGCCACCAGAATACGTTGATGCACTCATTATTGTAATGAAATGTTTCGTGCATGCTTAACACGTGGTGGTGTGTTATGTCACGTGAACACAAAGTTTCGAGACTGAAATTTACCGATGATAAGGTTGACGACTCATGCTGATATGAACAAAACTGGTTTACAAAAACTGGATTAGTGATAAGGTACATGACTACCGGGATAATTATCCTTTCTAGCACTTGGCGTCCAGAAACTTATATCGCTTTGAGTATTTAAGGGAAATGTTATCATAATCGATTTCAACGCTTTTCTCCTTACGCATCTATTTACATACACTACCGGCCAAAAGTTTGGAATCACTGAGCATTGCAATTTACACCAGAAAAAAGTCAGCGACTTTGAGAATTTTTTATCGTTCGAATCAATTGATATGAGATAAATTGATAAATGTAGAATTGAGATAAACTTCAAATCTGTAAAAAATTAGCAGAAGATTTAATATTGATGAAAAGTGGGAGGTGATTCCAAACTTTTGGCCGGTAGTGTATGTATTAGAGGATAATAAAATTTCTATTTATCTGTTATACTAATTTAGAAATATATTATACATTTATAATGTAAACATACAATATACTATATAGTCACATGTTTATGTACCAGATATATGTAATAGACATATACTTATGTATACCAGAAATATAATATTAAGTTGGTGCATATGAAACGTCGTTTTTTGAAATGAAACTTTAGATAGATTGTAAAGTTGTCAAAATAACTACGACACAATTCTATACACTTTTCCTGACGATTAACTAATTTCATTATTCCAAATAGATAAATAAAATTAAAATAATTCTTTAAATAAAAAAACAATTTTTAAATGCTACTTTTACAGTATCTTCATTTTCAAATAGTAGATTAGTTTGCTAAAAAAGTTATTCAGATGTTTGAAGAAGTGATTGCCTGTTGGGGAAAAATATAGTGAGTAGGAGAGGATGTGGTAAAATTTTATATTCTTTACCCGGAATTGCTTTCAACAATGTTCCTTAAAGTATCATCATCGACGGCTCTATCTAGACTTCCTCGTTGCCCATTTTCAATAAAAAGTTATCAATTTTCAATTTTGTACGTCAACGTTGAAGTGACCTAACACTTACATAACCTTCTTCAAATGCTAAATATATATTTGCAGCAGCTTTTATCGCAGTTTCTTCAAGTTTAAACTTATGCAAAAAGAGTACACGTATATGCCGATTATTTATCACGTCATACAGTAATATCTAAACAATTGTATTAAGTATTTTTTTTCTTTCTACTATTCAATACGCGTACCTACAGCAAATTCCTTTTTTATGACTATTGTGTATAAAAATTTATGATCAGACAAAATTTAATACATGGTATCAACCCGCCAATTTCAGCTATTGAAGAAACGACATTACATTTTGATGAGCTATGAGCTACAAATGGTTAAAAATCGCAGTTTTTTACAACTATAATAAATCTAAGGATTCTTACATCTTTTGATGCCTGTCGTTTGTTTCTGCATCGACCGCCTTCGATGACATTTTCAGCATGCGTTTTTTCTTTTGATTCTTTCAATTTTTCACTCTCGTTCTACGAAAGTTTACTTCAATAATAATATTGAAAATTTTTCTGGTGATTTGGTTTAGTAGTTAGTTGTGTTGTGTATTTCCAGCTCAAATATGAGCTGCTTAATGTATATGCTTAAAATGTATTTTCTTGTGGCCGCTTGACAGCAACCTGTAAATCTGGCGTGACAGTGAACGTGTTAATAAGTAAATGTTGTTCAAATTATGTCGTGTTTGATGTCATTTTCATCAGAAAAATCTCATCAATATGTTAAGAAAAATTTCGGGATAAAAGAACGTAAAATTAAAAAAGTTGGTATTTAAATCGCTTGGTTGCCTCGACTCACGTTTCATGCTTATCTTTTATTCGCTGTCCTTGTCTACGTTCGGCAAACTACAAAGGCGGGCGCGAGGCTCGAAAACGTAGTCCCTGACTCTACAATTGTCAGGTTAGGTTCCTTGCAGAATGACACTTGTGGAGAATATACTGTAACTGGCATAAATCTCCGAAACGTATTTTTTAAATTTTCATTACGAGCTCAGATAAAAAAGTTGTAAAAACAACCTTCGCTATTTTTTCCGCGTTCCGATCAATTCTAACTTTTTCTAGTAAACTAATCCTAACTTCTGAAAAATACTCACTGTATGTAAGTATTGTGCACTATAGACTAATGGTTTTATATGAATAATGTATGTATAAGATTTACCGTGGTATATTATCGATCGTAGAAAAATTGCATTTTCCTTATTTCTTAATTTACTGCTCCTCAAAGAGAACTAAAGACTTTTACCGTCAATAAATATAGTATTATAGTACAGAGATTAGATTAGAAAGTATTGTTCATCGATTCCACGAATGATAAATTTGTATACAATATGATTTATCTGAATTTCCATTGAAACATATTTGTGAAGTACTCTCTATTGTACTTCTCTATCGATTCCATTTTTCTATCAACGGTAAATTTCTCAGAATGAGTGTAATTTAACTGTTGAAGAATTTTTTACCTCTTGTCAATTTCTCAGAATGAGAAATGCAATTAAACTTTACTGAAGTATACACAGCTATAAAAACATTTATTCCTTAACAACTTGTCATAAATTCATATGTAAGATGTAACTTCTCATGAATTTTCGCAATATTACGTTTAAAAAAAGCAAAACTGATCATTCGATAGCTACAAAAGAATTTCAAGTTCCGTTTAGAGAAATCACTTTCTTAGAGATTATCTGATATAATTAAAGATTAACTGATATAATCAAAAAACTTTACATTTAACTGAAATTTGTAAAAAAACAAATAAAACGAAAGACGCAAAACACTGATTATCTGCATGACATTATCAATATACATTTTTAATCATTTATATTTTTCGCAAAAGAAATAATGAAAATAAAATAAATTCAATATCCTAAGTCTTCGAAATGTACCGATTCATTTTTCGTTAATTACTACGATAGCAAAAGTTACGATCCTTGTTACTTTTTATTGAGCAACTCATTGCAATCTAGTTTCATTTCAGAATGCGTTTATCGACGAGAAATCTTTTAATTTTGAATGCAAACAAAATTAAGAAATTCGCTTTTAGGAAAAATTAATAAAATCAACGAATACCTTCTATTCTACGAATATTTCACTTATAAATCCTGTTTTCATTCATATTGTATGTAAATAGTAAATATATTTGCGCGTTTGCATGAATTACATACGAAAAATCTATTCTTTCTATATTACTGTGTCACGTAATTATACAGTACATTCTTTTAACAATTTACTCAAGCTAGTATCTTCAAGCTATTAATTCTGTCTAGCTTTTTTAATTATGTCTAATGAATTAAACTTGGAAAATTAATAAAAACTTTTCAACAAATTATCAAAATATTTGAAAGAATTATCACATAAGGTAGTGAACAATGAATGATCAAAAGAAGATTTTACTTGAAATATTTCTCAATGTTGTTCGTTATTCATTAAATTAAATCGATTTAAGGCTACATTGATTCATTTAAATTCAACGAAAATTGACACAACGTACATATGTACATATGTATATCACAGACAGGGCTAGGACTAATACACAAGAGAAATAACGATAAAGGAAACAATGTTCAATTCCAGGGCGACTATTCAATACGTGCTACCGTGTTGCAGCCCGCTAAAATATTTCAGAAATCGCTGACATTATAATTTTTGTTTTATTGTAATAACGAATACATTTTTTTTTTTATTTTGTGCATGCATGTTCACAGGCAAAAAAAAAATCGTCGAGTCGATTTAATAATTTGAGACTGCAGCACGCTAAGTGTAAAATCCACGAACCGCCACTGTTTAACTCCAAGAGCATGCCAAAGTAATCGGTTTCTTGAAAATTCTAAATTTCACCGTTCTAAATCGATATATCCAAATTTAATTGCGCAATATTGTTTAATTAACACTGAATTGCATGGTCGAAATTTTCAAATTTACCGCACAATAATGAAAATGTAAACAAATTTGAATTGCTTGACACGCGAGAGAAACAGCAAATAATTAAGAGATTCTTACTGCGAACTCCAGTGATGTCTCCACTAAACCAGTGATAGATTCGTAGAGTTTCACCAGTCTAAACAATCTAGATTGAGAACGCTTTCATTTTATAAGATCCGTGATCTTTTGATTGTAAAGCTTTACAACGAGAAGCGAACTGATTGTCAGGAATTATACAAAGACCAGAAGATTGTTAGCTTTGATAAGTTGACGCGATTTCACGCGAAGGTTACCGATTAAATTTATACACGACTGATGCACGATCGCACGAAGACACATCGAGAAATACTTTATCTGATTGCTATCATCACACCGGGAAGCAGACTCTGGGATATAGTTATCTGAGAGAAGCTGAAACAAGTATCAGCTTCATTATTCTATTGTGGTGAATACAAAAAGATCGTCAAACAAATAACTATAAACACTCATGTGAATACACGAAATCACTTGACGTTTCAGTAATTGTGCAACTGTGTACAGAAGCAAAGTATTGTATTTCTAACGAAAAACGAAAAGTAAGTGACAATTTTTACAAGAACATTTCTTCGATTTCTTCTCGATCGGTCCAGATATGTGCTTGCTCCCATAAATAAAGATTCACTATGCGCGATTTCATAAAGTTTCGTTTACACAGCCAATATCGAAGTAGAGACACATATAGCAGAAGGAAAGTGAAACTATTGTAAATAGAGCTTTCATTTAGATCGAACTGTTTTTAGGGATCCTTTGTTGAACTTTTATAAGATGAAAACCGAAGAATCGAGAATGAGAGTGGTTGTAACGTTGCTAAGTGTGCTGTTCATTTCAATGGTACCTGTGAACTCGAATCCAGAATTGAAATTACTACAAATTGTGAGAATCACCTGTTTAAATACAATAAAAAGCATGTACTTCATAACAAAACTTTTTGCTGATTTTTCTTATCTTTTAAAAAGCAAACAATTGGCAGAACAATACAATAATACCGTAACACTTGGCTTAATTTTGCAGGTATTTGCTCATAAGACGTTCGCCCCAATTTTGGATTTAATAAACAGCAATGAAATGGATGTACCTAGAAGATTAACTTATGAATATTTTAACACTGCTCCTCTCACTATGCCCAATGTAAGTTCACACGTTTATCTCTTTCGTTAAGACTAAATGATAAATAAAAAATACGCCGCGTATTGTCTCCGAATGAACATAAATATTGATGTCGATAAGCCAACGAGTGCAATTTTACAGGCTGTTCCGTAACTAATGATACTACCGTGAAGAGGGAGATTCTGAATGGAAGAAAAAATCTAATTCTTGAAAAAATTAAATTTAAATATACGTCGAGTGCGCCTGTATTTAACTATCTCTCGGCCTTATGTTTGTACTAATATGTAAGTGAATCCAATGTCACGGAATTACTAATAATACGTCTATTAATGATTTCCTCAACTGAAATTTACATTATTGGACGAATTGTTGAAAGTGACGTTCTTGTTAACGCATACAAATCCTTGCTCTTTGAATCAGAGAATCCTGGACTAATGATACGATATTTTGACGCTCTAAATACTTGAAAACCTGTACAATTCTTTCTTTTGACTGTAGAATAGATTTACACTATCTTCTGTGTAGATAGTGGGTAATGTGGCGTTACCGCTGTTGATCAACATAAAAGTAGGTCTGAGCGGTAGTAATAGATTGTAACGAATCTTTAAATTCAATTTTCTTGAAATCTAACAATAAGTGTACTATGAAAAAATTTTATTCTATATCTTCGGTTTATTTTTCCATGTTGATCCACCCCCTTCACGGTTGCATCACTAGTTACGGAGCATCCTATATGTATAACGTACCTTACTTTCAACAATAAATGGAGAAGGTATAATCTTTCTCTATTTCCTTGAAGCATAATCACCTCTGGTTTCGACACGATTAAACATAATCTTAATATTAAAAGTGCTCGAAGTACTTAGCAAGTTAATATTTATTTAATTTAAATAAATATAAGCAAAAATTACGTAGCAATCTTTAATTACGGAAAATGAGACATTGTGATTATACTTTAATTGTGCGCTTCTGATAAATATCGGTAAACCAGTGACCTAAATAACGCAAAAAGTCCGAAATTTTCGACGCATTTACGGAACAGCTGTTGTAAGAGAAACAGACTCAATGATAACTCCAGATTAATTTCTACTCGATAGATCAATAAGCTTAACATGCACAAACTGGGAGCCCATTTACGTGACGCGTACGATGAATTTCTGGGTGATATTTACACGCACGAAACAATGAAAATGCAAACGGCCGGGTATACTTTGTCGATGATATCTGGTCAATTAGTGAATTCAGGTCTTTGGCCTCCAGCGGAGAGTCAAAAATGGAACACGGATATAAACAACTGGCAACCAATACCTACAGGTTTGTAAACGGAGGCAGATAGGTGAAACATTCAAAGAGAAAACACAAGTGAACGATAAAGAGAAACGTTCACGCATTGATGTAATTGATTTTCTAGAATACTTGCCCATGCAGAAAGATACATTGTTTCTTGGAATACATTGTCCGAGCTTTGCACTCGAAATGGAAAAAATGTTGAGAATGAATACGGTGCGAGAAAAATTGTCGCATTATGCACCTTTGTTCGATCATATATCTTCACATACTGGAATGAAAATTCAACAGCCATCAGAAGTAGCTCTGTTGTATGCTGTTCTTGAAACGAAAGTAAACTATTAATTTATCCGTAAAAGAGACAATGCTACGATATAAGCATTTTTTATAATTTGTTCACTTTACACGTACATTTGAACTAGCAACTTCAACTATCTCGTTCAATCCTTTTTTAATGTTTTCTAATCGTTCTGAATCATTACTTGCCTCTTATTGACGAGAACCTTAAATATTCAACCAGTTGTATTTGTCGGTGAATAAAATCATGTTAAACTGTTCCTTGGGATACTTACAAAAATGATTGTTGTTACAGGCCGATCTGAACCAATCGCTTCCACAATGGGCGCAAGACATTTTTCCTGATGGAGGAATGTACAATGTATCTTTGCTAGAATATGATCTTCTTTGTGAAACTTCTCTGCAAAAACAATTGAATGGTGGTACAATTCTGAAAGAAATATTAGCAAATTCATTGATGTATATTAAGGGAAGCATACCTAAAGAACGGAAGCTCATGGTATACAGTGGTAACGAAAGAAATATCGTTGGCGTTTTAAAAGCTCTAAACTTATGGTCACCGCACATTCCTAACGAGGCCGCTTCTGTGATTTTCGAACTGTATTTTGACAATAAAACAGGAGATCATGGAATGAAGGTACTTCTTTTCCCCTTTTTATTTTATCAGAGGCGACAAACTTTTAAATAATTACATAATTTTACTAGAATGTAAAGTATCTTTCCAACGCAAAGTGTACAATGAAAGCTAAACCAAATATTTCATCCAAAGATGTTTGACACGATACTGAATTATAGTTAGAACTGTGTTACTGTTGAAGAACAAAATTGACTAATTGTTTCAGAAAGATTAATTTTGCACGAGAAACTAACTATGATATGCTATTAAACTAATATCAAGGTGTTAAGGGTAACATTACAGATAATATTGAAAGCCTTTATTTCAACAATTATTGCAATTCCATACTGCAATATACCTTACGAGTACATACAATGCTTATTAATATAACATTTAAAACACTTAAAATAATATTTAATATTTAATATAGCAGTAGCTTCATCTTTTTCAATTTTAATGTTATGTAATAATATATACTTTTTCGTTATTTTTATTACATGTACATACATACGTCCGGACAGATACATAGATAAAAAATTTCAGATAATATTGAATATTAAAAATCAATACAATGTTGTAGGATGATTGAGAGGATGCAATAAAGAATGCAGCAGATCAAAGTCCAAGTGACATTTCATATTCTCATAAATATATTCATTCCTATTATTTCAGATTAATTACTATACAGGGGTGGATGGAGATACTATTCCTTTGAAAATACCAAATTGTACAGAAATATGTCCGATGAATACATTCTTGCGTTCAGTATTTGATGTCCTGCCGCAAAACGCAGAACTATTGTGTAACTGGAAAAAGATTGATTGGTCTGATAACAATGTAATACTGAGTAATTCTATATACAGTAGATCTTCATCAAGTACATTAGACAGTATTATATTTACCCTGTTATTAGTAATTACTTTATTCGTACATTAGTTAATTTGTATACATATTAATTTCGTCACACTGCAAACAATCGTAAGGTTTTAATGAAAAATTATGTAACTTAACCAAGAGGTAGAAAATGCATCAAACACTTCAAGTCTCGCGATTTATTTGCAATGCATAAGTTAAAATTTTTAAAACAATGTTTCAACACTGATAGATGCACCGATAGACGCAATATTATATTTAAAATATTGTATTTAAAAAGAAGTCATTTTTTCACTCGTCAATATATTAACTAATGTTCGTGACTTTTCAACGAATTGAACAAAGCTACTTTCCATAGCAATCTTTGTAAAATCATCCAACATCATAGACCATCGTCTTTCTCTTGTTTGCGCATTATCTTCTACTATCGCACCTTCGAATTTCAACTGTTTTTTCCATAAATCAACAACAGGTGGTATTACTTCTTCTTCAGATTGATTGTTGCCTTTCTCACCAAACACCAAGCGATATTTTTGCAAACAAAGGGTTAAAGTATAAAAGATAGTATGTAATTGATCTATTATACGATGTACGTTAGCCCTTTTACTGGTCATCAGAGAAATTAATACGTTCTCGTAAGATTTTAGTTTAACGGTTAAATGATTTATCGTTTCAATGCATACTTTCGTATGTGTGCATAGTTGTAAAATAATAGAAATACGATGAGTCAACATTGTAACCTAAATAAGAGAAAATGTAATCCTTAATAAGGAAAAATAAGCAACATCATGTTTCATCGTAACTTAGCTTTTGACTTAATTTTTAATGGTATTAACCTGTTAACTGTGAGTTCACTTCTCAAACAGAAATTGAATCTCTCTAGTTTATAATTAAAAATGAATACAAATTATAACTAATCATTTCATGTTTCTTCTTATAAATGTGAATATGATGTATTTTATATTTAATACAGGCAAAATTGTATAATTAAAAATAAACAATCCTTCGATAAATAAACTAAATTGTGTTCTAAATATTGATGAACCAATGACGAGTCAACTCGTCTTCTCCAGTTAAAAGGTTAAACATATAGAACCGTGTGTTGTTTCCTTTTTGAGTAATTTTGTAAAATTCGTTAAATCATTGATATTTCTCAAAGTGAAGCCAAACTCCTTTTCACACAAAATTAGGAATTCCTTTTCAAAAAGCATGTACATACATATATACATGCTATTATTAAATTAATTAATTATGTTAGGCTTCATAATTATAAGAATTTATTCTTTAAAAGAACCATATGAATCGATATTAAAAAATAGATGTCTTTAATATGTATAACAACATGATCAATATTTAATATATGTATTTATCTATTACTTTCACAACAATATATTTATATATCGTAAATTTAAAGATTATTTTCATAAACATTTCTAATTCTAACTAGAAAGATGTTCAACGAGTAAAACAACACTTTCTTTGGGCTCAATTGTACGCTCCTGTTTATAAGTAGGTATTGGGACACTTACTGAATGTGAAGCGAACCTAAACAGTCATTACAAAATTATTCAGCCTGGAATCTGGTAATATAATGAGTGCATACATTTCTGCGAATATATGGTACTAAATCTGGAGAAAAAATGTAATTTCAATTTTTAACTACAGACCACTTGTCTTAGACACGAGTCTGAATTTTTATTTCACTATTATAACTACATGTAGATACAGTGACTCTTACTAATATTCGGACACTATTTAGAACAGTATAACTTTTTCTACATTGGACTTAACGACTTGAGTTTTTTTTGAGAAGTTAGAAGGATTAGCATACTAGATGACGTGTGTAAAATTTTTTGAAAATATTGCAATTTGTGGGAATCACGAAGAAAATTGTAAATGTCACTGTTTACAACTTTTTTACCTGAGCTTGTAACGAAAATTTGAAACATACGTTTTGTAGATTTATGTCAATTATACACATGTTGAAAATTTCATCGAAGTCGGTAGATGGAGAAACAAGCGACAGGCATCGAAAGATGTAGGAATCTTCAGATTTATTACAATTATAGACCGAAAGTCGTGAAATAGTGCGATTTTCACAATTTTTAACTGTTTGTAGCTCGTAGCAACATTAACCGATTTCGATGAAATTTTCAGCGTGTGTATAATTGACATAGATCTACAAAACGTATTTTTTAGATTTTCATTACGAGCTCAGATAAAAAAGTTGTCGAATGTGACCTTTACAATTTTCTTCGCGATTTCCACAAATTGCAATTTTTTCAAAAAATTTTATACGCGTCATCTAGTATACTAATCCTTCTAACTTCTCAAGAAAACTCAAGTCGTTAAGTCCAATTTTAAAAAAGTTATGCTGTTCTAAAGAGTGCCCGAATATTAATAAGAGTCACCGTATGTGAAGAATTGTGGAAGTTCTAGTGTTTGAGTAGCGTCAATTGACAGTAGGTTGTACAATATTTCCATAAAAAAGAATCATAATTTTTTTATATAACATTATAAAAATACTGTTTCTATAAAATATTGTACAAAGCCTTAACAAACAACATATACATCATTCAATAAAAAATAGTTATATTAAATTTATTTCTACAGCACAGTAATTAAATAAATAAAATTGCCAAAATAGTTTGAGAGACTATACGTCTGTTGTAATGTCATGCAGATTAGATGTCTATAATTAAATGTTGCATCACATCATAGTTTCTGTACGAACATAATAAGTGTCTTAATAATTATGAACGGTAGTATATGTATACCTTGTTTCCGGTGTTACTATCCATCTATTCAACTATTATCTTTAACATTTTTCTCTCATCTTCCTGTCAAAGGAATATCTTAAGCTCTTAATTTTACCGTTAAATATAAAAACACTAAATAGAGAAATTAAATAAGAGCAGCATACTAATCCATTAGTGGTTTCATTCTTTAGAGTAACGTGCGCTCATGTATCGTACACTTCATGGAGCATTATCATTGAAATATTCCAGGTTGATTGTTGAATTATTGTAAAATGTTCATCTGCGTAACATATAGGGTGGCCCACGCAACTTGCACACCTCGAGTAACTTCTAAAGTATGCGTTGTATGAAAAAATTTTTCATACAAAAGTTGCATGGTTTGGAGGAGCACATTATGTGGTGTATGTATTCTTTTTATGGATAGAGGAGTTTCGGAGATTTCAAAGTCAACTTCATTATTTTAAATAGAATGCTATATTTTGTATGCCAAAATATCAAAGAATGTTGAATTCTGAGTAAAAAAGTATTGACCTTGTTACGGTGTTACGCTTGTCGTGTCCTCACATGGAGCGTAATACTGTTTGGGTTTGTGGATCGGTCAAAACGTTCACCGTATGAGGGTGATACGTTGTTGACAACGAATCCGACAGGATTGGAACCTTCGGCGTACGTGGTATATACGTCGTTCTCCAACAAGTCCGACGAGATTGGAACCGTCGGCGTACGTGGTATATACGCCGTTCTCCAAAGGATGGACAAGGTTTGGTGGTTGTGAGGACAGTACGTACCGTAATGTCGGATATACCTCGAGCGGTTAAGATATATCCTTTGTGAGTCTAGCTATTTCGTTACTAATGTTACAAGGAGATGGTTAATTGAATATAGGCTGAGCAATTCTACAATAGCTATATTCTAATAATATTCACTTGTGGTTACAATAAGATTACAATGTAAGATTACAAAAGATTACAAATATGAATTACAATGGTTGATTCTTGGCTGAGCAAGAATCTTCCTTCTCGACTTTACACGGTGAGTACGCGGGGACGTCGTAGACAAGTATGTCTAGTTGACACTTACGAATTTAGTATTATACTTGGTTGCTCGAAAGGGAATTGAGCCCGATCTTGCTTGTGTCAAACGGCGACTATACAGATACTGCTCTACTTTAACGTTCAGGGTAACTCTGAACTGTGACTGCCCCAGAGCCTCGAAAATCATGCCCTTATATACTCCAAAATTTGTATTTTTTGGGTGGTGGGGGCCCTAATTTTCCCATGAGACCGAAGTGCGTTCGTTTACTTTATCTCAAGGGGGTGAGCTCTAGGCGGATGTCTCGGCGCCGCCGTGTCGGCTACTCTGCGTACGTAACAACCTTTATTAGCCCTAAACCTAATATTAGGATGTCCGGAAATAAATTGCGGTTTCTGTACATGAGATTTAAAGACGTGTAGTTTTACTTAGAATGAATTTATCTAATCGAAATAATTTCCATTAGATTCTATACACCTTTTCCAACGTTTTACAAGAGTTCCTATTCCGTTACAATAAAAATCAGGAGTTCTAGGATTAATAAATTCCACGAAGGTATTTACAGCATC